CCCCAGCACTCCGGTTCTCCTGGGATGTCGAAAGGGCGGAGACGAACATTTCGCAGGAAGAGTGAACTGAGGGGGGGGGCGCGGGTGTTGTACCGCAAAAAGTTGTTTCTTAAGGACTCGCGACCAGGAACCGGACCGGGAGGAGTCTTGCTTTCTGTCCCCTGCCTCATCGCTTGGATTCGGGAGTCTAGAGAAATGGATGCATATCAAGGTCTGGGATACAGTTTTGCTTATCCGGATTCACATCGACACCCTTTTGGATTGCTAATTGTGACTACGCTGGTTCGGAAAGCGAGTGGGTTTTTGCAGAAAGCGAGTGGATCTATATACACATATATTTCCCCCTCCCATGTTGGGATTCATCAACAAACCCGGAAAGAACATGGAGAGACAGAGTCCTGCGTATCGGCAGCCATGCCACTGTGAATCACACAACCCCCGGCCTCTTCGCCCCCTGGATTTCCCTCCTCTCTCCCCCGCCCCGCACCCCTGGCTTCTCTGTTGCTGCGCAGAACCGGTTGAAGGAGGGAGAAGGTGGGAGGTGGGTGGGGTGGCTGTGGGGGGCCCCAGCAAGGAAGCAACGTTCACTTTTACCATCTGTTGGCCTAAAAAGCGGGTGACGGCGTTTTATCTCACTTTGGGGGTTTTTTTAGAGAGAGAAGGGAACACTTACATTTTTTTTGTAAGAATCCGATGTCGTGATCCTCCTTTGAGCAATGCCATATTGGTATAGGACGACGCCAAACAGGAAAGCAGTATTGTACGATATATTTATAAAGACGAGAGGGGGAAAAATGGTGTTTCGGGCACTGGCCCAGCCTGGCTCGACCTTGGAGGGCGCCTCTGCTTGGGAGATCCTGGCTCATGCCGCCGCCCCCCCCCCAGCAGAGAGCTCTTCCCCCTCCGGAAGGCGGCCCAGGCGGGAGGGCAGGCAAGACTCGCCCTTCACCCGGAAGCAATTGGCAAGCTCCAGAGGGTTTCTTTTTAAACCGGCTTTGTCTCCTTCCAAGTAGTATATTCTCTTTTTTTATTTTTATTTTACTTGTTTAATTAAGAAGAAAAAAAGCACAGGAAAAAAAAATCATACCAGAAGCCATAAAACATGTGGGAATCTCATCCATTCATTCTTTTCTCCCTTAAGAAATCAGCGAAGTCGCTGGATGAAGGCTTTTAATCTAAATTTGTTTTAATATATATATATGTATGTATGTATGTATATGGTACAGTACTAATTCGGTTAAAGATTAACAGGTACTTGGAGAGCTCCGATCAGCTGCGGGAAATCAACCACAGCAAGGCTTCTGAAGATGGTGGGCTGGAACAAGAAGGAACTTTTTTTTTTTAGATTAACACGCCCCCCCCCCCCCAAATTTTTTCTGTTTGTGCTTTGCTTTGGTGAAACATGGTGTGTGTGTGTGTGTGTGTGTGTGTGCGTTCTTCACCCATCCGTTCAACATTTTGTGAGGATCTCCTTCTCCTGCTTGACTCTCGTTTCATGTTTGTACGGGGAACTTTGTAGCTCAACGTTTCGTTGTCTCCAGTCTGCAAAAAGAAGCACAAATTCTATTGCTTTGTCTTGCTTACGGTCATTAAATCATTACTTTTGCATACGCCTGGTGGCTACTCATTGTAGTTCCCTTTGGGGGGGGGGGTCTCCTGAGTGTTTCAGATGTGGCATTTCGGTTTCTAAAACACACGTACCATTTGTATGCTCAGATAGCGCTTTGAACTCACTGACTTGGAGCTGGGTTCCAATCTAGGCTGGAGTTTCTAGCGCCTTTCTTTGGAAAGCACCGAAAGCGATGGGACTCACTCCCAGAAGGGGTGGGGGGAATTAAGTTATGATCTGTGTGCAAGTAATTACGGCTGGGTGCGGGGTTGATCAACACATCGCTGAAGTTAAGTGAGACTTATTTGCAAGGGAGTCTCTGAGGTTCAGAGCGCTGCTATCTGGCTCCAGGCAGCACACTTGGGCTGCGGTCACATGCACTAAATAATCCACTTTCAATCCACTTTTAATGCACTTTCCATCTGGATTTTGCCAGTTCACCCAGTAAAAATCCAGTTGGAAAGTGGACTGAAAGTTAATTATTATTACATGTGTGTGACCGCAGCCAGGGGCAGGTTGATTTTTACAGAGCCGTTGTCGCTACGCCACGCATTTTTATTGATAATTTGCAAAAGAACCAAGAAAAGGAGCTGCTTTCTTTGTTTAAAAACCAGCAAATCTCAGTGCCTGATCTCGATCCCAAATGAAGCCTACGGGAAGGGAGTTCCTTCAATATGTCAGAACAACTTCTGTGCCTCTGTGCTTGCGCCGCTACAGAGGGATGTCATATAATTAATTTCTACTCAAGAATGGGGTGTATCTTTTAGAGACTGTCTACATTTTCTGTCCCAAGCTCCATTTCACTAGCTGTGTAAAGGATTTGGTCCTGTTGTGTATAATAAATAAGGTTCTTTCCCCCGGTTTGGATTACTTGGGGGGGGGGAGGTCCTCAATGGCCTATTTTTAAAGGAGAGAAAACCGGTAAAGATAAGTTATATATGTGACCCAACTGTGTATCTTGGCAGTTTTCCTTCTCATCGAAAAATATGAAATAATTCACACAAAGGCCTACATTGAACCCCCAACTCGGGAGCGCAGATAAATCAAACTCCAAGCTTATTTATTTTGGATCCAATTCAATTCTGTCAAACGCGGCCATTTAGAACTGAGCTAATATTGGTATTTATAACCCATCCGTGAAAATCCGACGAAACGGTGGGATTTGCCCCCTTCTGAAGGAGCCGCGTCGCGGGGCTCGAAGGGTCTTCTGACCGGCGCTTTAAGCCACTGCCGACGATTCCCTCCTCTTCTCCATCCTCCGGGTCCACAAGCCCTTCAGAGAACTAGAAATGCTGCAGGAAATGGCCCGATGCCAAAACTGCATTCGCTGTCTTTGTCGAGAAGGTCAGTGCTGGCCCTGTTGTGAGCCGCCTCTGCATCAGGGAGAGGCTGCAAAGAAACAGTCCGGCTCGACCGACGGGTGACGACCCCCTTCTAAACCCGCCGACACCCATGGATTTAGAAGCGTGCAGCTCCCTTTAGGATTGCGCTGCAGGTTCCTTTGAGACAAATGAAGTTGATGCTTTCTGGGGAAGCCTTGAATTCTTCTCCGAGGGGTTCCCCCCTCCCTCCCCAAGAGAAACGCTGTTTATACCAGATGAAGCTGCGGGGGCGAGGAAATTCTGTACCGGCACCCAGGCAAGTCTAATGACCAACCCCTTGAAGCGTTGGGACTCAAGGGGAAAAAATGAAGCCAAATAATGGCCCCCACCTGGCAGGAAGTCAAAGGGACGAGCGCAACGGCGTGCTGCGGGGTCTCCCGCCGAACCCTGATTTGGGCATAGGGAAAGTCTCCGGAGGAGGCGGAGGCGCTCCAGTGGAGAACGCTGCGCCGCTCCTTGTCCTCCGGTACAAAGGGAGGGCCGGTCCTGCTCTCGGCCAGCCTTTGCATTGAAAGGCGGCAATGCCTGTTAGTCCAAGGGCCGCGGAGGCCTCGCCGGAGAAGGCGCTGGCTTGCAGGGCTGGGCTCTCTCCGGAATCGCGAGCGTCTGAACGGGTGCACTCTAGTGCCTGTTGCAAAACCGGTCGTCGCGCACTGGAGATCGGCGGAGGGATTGGGGGGGGGGGAGGTCCGGCTCAAAGACCACACCGCAGGGAGGCTCCTTTTGGAAACGGAGCGCTCCTGGGCTCAGAGTCCATCCCTCCCAGGCTCCGCCGCGACCGCTGCATCTACAGAATGGGATCAACTTTGTGTGACTGGCCCGGAGGAATTGTCCCGAGAAGCGGGAAGGCATCTGGCCCTGAGAAAGGACAGCAACGGAAAAGACCGTTCATAGCAGCCCACTGAAGACAGGCGTTAGAGGAGAGAAGGGGCTTGAGCTTCGGTCAGCCGACCCCCCCCCTCCGGGCTTGGGTTCCTGGGGGGGGGGGTGCCCAAGAGCCCTGTCCCTCTCGAGGCGCGGCGAAGCTCTTCGCTCAAGACCAGCACGGGTCGAAGGGAGGTTTCCTGGGGTCTTTCCTAGCCAAGAGATGCTGGTTCTTGGGATCAGAATGCAGGGGACCGACAGGAGGAATCGCCGGGGGTGCTGCGCGGGACGCGAGAGGGCGGCGGCGGTCTTTGCCCCCCCCCCAGTCCCCTGCAGCCCCGGGCGGCTGGATTCCTCTCGGCTTTGATTTGCCGGGGGGGGGTGTTTGGGGGCGGCTGCAGTTTCTTTTTGTGTTGCCTCTTCTCTGCCGAAGGAGATCGCGAAGCACCTGAGTTTCCGCTGCCCACACGGAGGGAGACTCTTCTGTCTCTCCTCTTTTTTAAAAAAATAGATTTTTATTGGT